AGTTACGTGATCCAAGCTGCCCAAAACATGAGAATTCTTTATTTTAAGCTTTAAGCAAATGCATTAGCGTAATGGCTGGCCCTGTCAGGCGCTTTAACAGGTGCGTGTGCGTCCTCAAAAAATAAAAAAAGAAAATTGTTTGTTTTAAATCCGATTAATCGATTAATCGAAAAAATAATCGACCAACTAATCGATTATCAAAATAATCGTTAGTTGCAGCCCTACTTGAAAGTGTAGAGAGGCTGTCTACATAATTCGCAGTGCTTCATGGGAGTCGGTGGGCGCCTCTAAAGTGTTTTTTTGTGCAATGTGGTTGTTTTGATTCTGATTGGTGGAGATTTTTAGTTTTTTTTTTTTTCAGAATCATGGGTAATGTACTTTCTCACCAAGGTTCCTTTTGTTAACCATGATTATTTATGAAATAAGATGTGAAAATACAGGCTAATGGCTATAACAAATCATATCCCATTGAATACCAACCTCATAGCTTACAGTATGTCTGCCTTTAATGGTTTAGAAGTTGCTGTTAAAAATCAATTACCTTATGAAGAAAATTAATGGGATTTTTAACTTTCGGAAACTGACTGTTGCACTCTATACCTGGGATGTGAGTGTCAGATGGTTGTTAGGTTCAACAGAGAGACTAATAATGTGGAGTGTGATGAATGTGAAGGGGAGTTTCGGTTTGATCCTGCACTTGGGGGATTTCTGTAGCTCTCATAGTGGGATTTTACTTCTTTTCCATTAAGTCACAAGTGTGGGAGTTGAATGTGTTTCTTCCATATGCAGGTGTTATGAAGCCTAGATCAATGGTTTTCAACTGCTTTTGCTTTACGCTGTAAACCCGAAAAAGTAAAAAAAAAAAAAAAAATTGAGGTAATCAGTTACATAAATTTTAAGTTATGATGTCTCCTATTTTAAGTAAACAGAACTATTAGGTTTTATGTTTGTTGTACTCATGCATGTTAATTACTCTTAATTTGAAGTACTGAGTAACCTAACTCATACATTTTCATAGCAATTACTTTTTTGTTTAAGTTAAATCTGAATGTATAAATTCTGTAAATATATCAAAATGTATCCACACTTAAAAACAAACACATAACACATGTAATACAATTTTGGAAATTTATTTTAAAACAAGGAATGTCCAACAGCCAACTTTATTTTTATTAAAACCAACATGAGACAATTGCAGTAAACATATCTCCTATAAAAATACAAATTTCTTAAAACCATTAAAACATGTTTCAAAGTAACATAAAAAAACAAAGATTTAAGAGATTTGCAGTTTTAATTACCAACTCTGTTTAAATACATTAAGAACTGCAAATTCCTCATTTCATCCTTGCATCCTCAATCTGTCCTTCAGAATCATCAAGCTAAAAAAGAATAATCAGGAAGAACTAGAGAATGTTGGAGCATGATCATTATTATTGGGTCAATATAACACGAATCACTAACTAGTAATAATAATATTAATGTTATAATGAAAAAAGTGTCATTTAAATCAATAACAGAGTAGCCCCTCAACCCCCATCTTTGTAATGGAACATGCCTCATTGTCTCAAGTCTTTGTCGCGCAGCAAGACCAGAAGAGCTCTGATTACAGTAGTACACCATGAGTTGACATCATGCAGTTCCTGTGAACATGAAAATTGAGAAAATCAACAATTTACGTATGTAATGCATCTTTTCACAAATATGACACACTACATACCCATCTGTCATGGACTTTCGAAAGATTAGCCAGGGCAACTGCTGTCTTGCCAGTCTTGGATGCTTTTTGATGGAAAATTGTCATCAAAAGAGGTAGGTGGTGGTCCAGTCATGCATAGAATTTCTGGGGCAAGTTCTCATCTGTAACAAGTTTGTGCTCTGCAAAATCAGACAAAAAAGAATTTTGTCAAATTAACCCACATCACATGATATATTAAGCAAGAAATACGGTATAATGTAAAATATCGGTATAATGGGAATGATGGATCTTTCTACAC